CCTCGGCCTCCCAAAGTGCTGGGATTACAGGAGTGGGCCACTGCGCCTGGCCAAAACTATTAGTGATTTTACGCCCTCCAATATTGACATAAAAATACATGAACAAGTTCCTTTTTGACACTTGGACATTTCACATTAATTCCTTTTTCCCTTAAAATTATATTTTTATTTATACCTCAGCTTCCAAATTTTATCCAAATGTAATCTTAGGCTTAAAAGTCTTAAAATTGGACACTCTAAAATATGTATAAATTACATTTAAAAAAAATTTCTTGTAACCATAAGGATATTAACAGACTATACAAAGTTAGTTATAATTACAATGATTCATTGTATATAATTAATCAAAAAAGTTGAATATTATATGTTTTGATTACTAAACACGGAAATTCAGTTTTTTGCAAACGCATCTCTTAATGAGAAAGGTGAGGCTATTTTCAACTAGTTCATGTATCAACAAATGAGTATTTACTGCTGGAACCACAGCATCAGGGCCATTTTCTCTCTCTTTTCTTTCTTCTTCCTTTTTGGAGACAGAAGCACTAAGAAATCTCGCTAATACAAACAGATAGTTGGGAACAAAAGGGGTTTTGTGATAGCTTTGCCCCTCTATTCTTCAAACACTCTTCAAAGTTACAGACCAATATTCATATATTGATCTCATAAAAAAAATTTTAAATTACCTGTCAGCTAAGAACTCGAGCAGGTCCTCCTTCAATTTTCTAAATGCTGGGAACTGTTAAGACTGCCTGACTTTAAGAAGGATCTGTTCCTCAGTCATCAAATCAAAGTTACTGACTCTCTCAACAGTGACATCAACATACCAGAATTTCCGTTTCGTTGGCACCCCACATATTTTTACATTTTGAGGAGAAAGAAAACGCACCGTGGTAGCCAGTGAGAAGTCTTCTTTTCAGAATACAGACTCCCTGCTAGGGCAGACCCATTTCAGGAAAGACTCAGATGGAGGTTGAGAATATCCTTAAAACTAGCTGTACTCAAGAATTAATGGGAAAACCTTTTTTTTTTTTTTTTTTTTTTAATTATTGTACTTTTTAATATAGAGGCACAGTTCCATCATGTTGGCCAGGTTGATCTCAATCTCCTAGGCTCAAGGGACCTGCCCACCTCCGCCTCCCAGCGTGCTGGGATTACAGGTGTGAACCACCACGCTCATCTGGCTGGAAACAGTTTTACTGAAGAGGCAGTGTTACCACTCCATGACTGCTCCAACAGAGCAGGGCTCCCCCTAGGCAGAGTGTGGCGGAAAACCTTTGTGTGTCTCCCCAGTGCACATGTATCTTGGTTGGAAGAGCACTGCAGTATATTTAAAAGTAGACATCTATAAAGGAAAACCACGTACGTGTACAGTTTGTGTTCTTGCGTTACCTGCATTGCTCCTTTTGAAAGCGAGTTCTGCCCCAATGGGTCCCAGTGACTTGGGGAATAACTGGTTGTTCCAAGTATGGGGGTTTATTTCCTTTCCACTGGCCATCAAGGACACGTTCTTGGGATTCACACCTGAGAAGAACAAAGCAGCCGCTTCGAAGGTTAGAGCGGATCATAAACTTAAAGGAAACATGTGTAATACATTCAAACACAGACTAGAGATACCTTGGACAGGAGAATGGAAATAAATCTACGTGAAACTGTAGCAGATACTCGCTTTCTGATGAAGCCCTTAGCACAACCCCCTGGGGTGCTGACAGTGTACTTTATAGGCAGAAGATATTTTCTATACTATAATAACATTTGATGTTTTTGCTAGGGGTCTTGTAAAAAATGAGGTGTCACAAAAATTTTTCTTCAACAACACGACATTTTTTTAATTTTTTTTGAGACAGGGTCTCTCTCTGTCGCCCAGGCTGGAATGCCGTGATGTGATCTCGGCTCACTGCAGCCTCCACCTCCCGGGTTCAAGTGATTCTTGTGTCTCAGCCTCCCGAGTAGCTGGGATTACAAGCGCCCAACAGCAGCATGGTTGGCTAATTTTTGTATTTTTAGCAGAGGGGATTTCACCATGTTGGCCAGGCTGGTCTCAAACTCCTGGCCTCAAGTGATCCGTTCACCTTGGCCTCCCAAAGTGCTGAGATTACAGGTGTGAGCCACCACACCCGACCCAACATGACATTTTCATGTCACTTGTTTTGAGCGTATATTCTTGGCCCGAGCCTTGGTGTAGCAGGGAAAACAGACACGTGACTAAGAACTCAGGAAAACCTTTGAAGTTCGGAGATATGAAGCTCTGCCTATAGCACTTATTTGTATGTGAGACACAGTAAAATGGAAAGTTTATGCCCTGTGCACCGGAAAGAAGGCATTGCAAATGTACTTGGAAAAAGGACAGTTTTAATTACTTATGATTTTCTGAAATCTGTGAAATGTCCATTCAGCCTTGGGCTGTGATACTAGTGGTCAAAGGGAGTTGTTGCAACCTGTTCTTAAGAGACTTGAAAACTTCTTGAGCTTGTTTTCTTTTCACTGATAATTAAATTAGAGTGAACTTGCCCATTCTATGCCTTTAGGTCATTCACAGAGAGTTTTCTTTATCTAGTGCAGAAATAATCACTGGGGACTCCACTGATTTAGGAAGTCAAAACTGTCTCCAGGCAGTTGAGCTTTTGCTTTTTGCAAGCTGAATTCCTTAGAAAGGTTTCATATTTATGAGATATGTAATAATATCCTTATTTTGAAACCATAAATACTGAGCCTCAAAAGTTACCCATTATCAGTTCTCTAAGGAAACACTTCATCAGGCAAGTAATTTCCTTTTCTTTAAAGGATTTAACTTCCCTAATAAAACTACGAATCAAACTATAATAGGCAACTACTGTCTGGGCGCAGTGGCTCATGCCTGTAATCCCAGCACTTTGGGAGGCTGAGGCGGGTGGCTCACGAGGTCAGGAGTTCGAGACCAGCTTGGCCAACATAGTGAAATCCTGTCTCTACTAAAAATACAACAATTAGCTGGGCATAAGGCAGGGGAATCGCTTGAACCTGGGAGGCAGAGGTTGTGGTGAGCCGAGATCGTGCCACTGCACGCTAGCCTGGGCAACACAGCAAGACTCCATCTCAAAAAAAAAAAAAAAAAGACAAAAAAAGGCAACTACCTGACCATAAAGATGCACTTGGTAGCAATTACTCATATTAAAAACATCTTTAGGCTGGGCATGGTGGCCCACGCCTGTAATCCCAGCACTTTGGGAAGCCGAGGCAGGTGGATCACCTGAGGTCAGGAGTTTGAGACCAGCCTGGTCAGCATGGCAAGACCCCGCCTCTACTTAAAAGAATACAAAAAAATTAGCTGGGTGTCGTGGTGCCTGCCTGTAATCCCAGCTACTCGGGAGGCTGAGGCACAAGAATCACTTGAACCCAAGAGGTAGAAGTTGCAATGAGCTGAGACTGTGCCACTGCATCCAGCCCGGTCTACAGAGCAAGACTTTGTCAAAAAAAAAAAAAAAAAAATTACCCAAAAAGGAAGTGCAAGGTAGGGGGTAAAACATTAAAAATCGGTGTGAACACAGTTCTCATAACTATAGTTCAACAAAGAATGAGTTCTGAATATTTAAATGATGTTGTTAATCCAGTTGGCCTTGGCAATATTCCTAAATAAGCTTTTTTTTTTTTTTTTTAAAGTATTTTAAAGTAAAAGGAAGGTAAGTAAATTATTGAGATAATTAGTTTAATTCAAGGTCATTTTCTTTTTTTAGACAGACTTTTGCTCTTGTTGCCCAGGCTGGAGTGCAATGGCACGATCTCAGCTCACCAAAACCTCTACCTCCCAGATTCAAGTGATTCTCTTGCCTCAGCCTCCCGAGTAGCTGGGATTACAGGCATGTGCCATCACACCTGGCTAACTTTGTATTTTCAGTAGAGACAGGGTTTCTCCATGTTGGTCAGGCTAGTCTCCAACTCCCGACCTCAGGTGATCTGCCCGCCTCAGCCTCCCAAAGTGCTGGGATTATAAGTGTGAGACACCATGGCTGGCCTCAAGGTCTATTTAAGATAAATATTCCAATTTTGTTGGAAATAGATATATCCTGTCCTAGAATTTTGTTATTTATTTGTTTATAAGTTTTCACTGGGTACCTCCTACACACCAAACGCCCTTAGGAAGAAGCATAAATTAATATAATTTGATATTATAATGATAGATATCATTATATGATGATAATCCCTTGCCTCAAAGGACATAAAAAAGTCAGTTAGCAAATATTTACTGAGCACCTACTGGTGCCAGGCAGTGTGTGACACTGGAGAAAAAGTGGTAAACAAAATAGACCAGTTTCTACTCTTTGGTTCTTAGAATCTAATGAGAAGGGAGACGGTTTTAGTTATAACTAAGTAAATACATAATGAGCAGTGTGCATAATATTTAGAAGAATCTGGGGTGGAGGGGACAAATAACAGAAGCAACTCAGCCAGTCTTTCTTTAAGTAAGCAACTTTAAGCTGAAATATGAATCATGGTTAACCCCTATTTATGCCTGAGGTCGCAGTTTTTTGAAATTTAGCAATCAGGCCTTGGCAATGACCTTGAGCAGTAGGATGTAACTCCCACATGCTTAGCGTTCCAATAATGGAACACTAGGCATAAATGTGTTTTAAGGGGTGGGGAGGTGTGATCCTTGAAGAGGCAACAGTTTGGGCAGAGGACCTGAGATGGGAAAGAACTCAGAGATGGCCAGTAAGGATGCAGCAAGAACACGGGTGGTATAAAATGAGGCTGGAGAGGGAAGGAGGGGCAGGTCACATAGGATTTTGTGTGCCGTGTTAAGGAAGTGAAAATGCTGTAGCAGAGGCTAATGTAGAAATGACACAGGACGTTGAACAAACAGGGTGGGAGGAACGATGGTAAATAATGAATGGGAAGAGAGAAGGATCCACAGATCAGTTTCAAAAGTGCTATGGAGGCCAAGTGCGGTGGCTCACACCTGTAATCTCAGCACTTTGAGAGGCTGAGGCGGCTGGATCACTTGAGGTCAGGAGTTCACAATTATCCTGGCCAACATGGTGAAACCCCATCTCTACTAAAAATACAAAAATTAGCTGGGTGTGGTGGCGTGCACCTGTAGTCCCAGCTACTTGGGAGTCTGAGGCAGGAGAATCAACAGAACACAGGAGGCGGAGGTTGCAGTGAGCCGAGATGGTACCACTGCACTCCAGCCTGGGCAATAGAGCAACACTTCATCTCAAAAAAACAAAAAAAGAAGTGCTATGGAGTGGGCTGCTCTTCTGGCCAGCAGTGGTGGCATCGATTCATGCCCAGAGTCCTGGCTGTAGGAGCAGGGGGTGAGACCAGAGGGCACCGCTGAGAGATTAGCATTTCCATTGCGTACTGTATTTGCAACTACCTTGTGATAATTAAAGTACCTAAGGCTTACAGAGTGAGCTGACAGATGGTGCAGTCCCATTGTAAGTTACAGAAAACAGAATCTTGCTCCAAGTACACAGCCGGTTAGTAGTAGCTGGTCAATAACTATGACTCTTGCGTCTCTTTCCCTGAAGGCCAGTGTCACAGATCTGCCAATCCTTGCAGTATAATGTCATGCTGCCCTGCAATTATATGGTACATTTCTAGAGCTCCCATAATCCTAAAAGTTGATGCTTAATAAGACCTCTTATACTTGGCTTTAGGGTAAAGAGGGGTCCCCAAAAGATATTAGTATTTTTTATTCCTGAAGATACTCAATTACAAAAGTAACTATGGATCATAAAAAAATGTCAAGGATTGCTTCTTTTTTTAAATTTTTTTTATTTTTTGAGACAGAGTTTCGCTCTTGTTGCCCAGGCTGGAGTGCAATGGCATGATCTCGGCTCACTGCAACCTCTGCCTTCCGGATTCAAGCAATTCTCCTGCCTCAGCCTCCTGTGTAGCTGGGATTACAGGCACCCGCCACCATGCCTGGCTAATTTTTTTGTATTTTTAGTAGAGATGGGGTTTCATTATGTTGGCCAGGCTGGTTTCAAATTCCTGACCTCAAGTAATCCACCGGCTTTGGTCTCCCAAAGTGCTGGGATTACAAGCATAAGCCACCGTACCCGGCCAAAGATTGCCTCTTATTTGGGTTTCTATCCTCTCTATAGTTGCTGGTTCACAATAGGTGCTCAATAAATGTCTGTCCAAGCGACTGAACTGAGCCTGATTCTAGTTTTAAATTTCATCCAACTCCAGAGGGGTCATCTTCAAAACAATGAATGCCAACAGGTGACAGTAAGGCTCAAGTTTACATATCACACAATTCTTTGTAATTGAGTTTACTTTTTAAATCTCAATTATAGCCATACTTCTGATCCCAAATATTTGCAGACTTTGTTAGATTTCTGGTTAAAAAGGAAATTTATCAACAGGTCTCAGATACCCTGAAATAAATTTTTGAAAACCACATTAGGAAGCAGAACTATGAAAACAGGGTGCTTTGGCTCAAAGGATAAATATCCTTTGACAAAAGTTTGCAGTAGTCTTTCCTACCACTCACTTCTATAAGAAAATACCGATTTGCGATATTTCAGTCAGTGAAA